CCTGGTCTTGGCCTCAGAAAAATCCTTTGTGTTTTTCATTTTGGGAGGCGCACGGAGGATGGGGGAGAAGTGATAAGAGGTACAGACAGATGTGAAGTTACACCTCTATTTCTAAGGAGGCCCCTGCGGGCAGGTGGAGAACCCTAGACAAGGACTCAGAAGGCCCGGGTTCAAGCCCTCACCTCCCCCTGATTTACCAGCCGAGGGACCTTGGGCAAGTCCCTTCCCCTCTGTGGATTTTAGTGTCCTCGTCTGCACGAAGAGTCCTGTCCATGAGATCAGCTCTGTGATTCCTCTGCGTGCTGCAGTCTGAGGCTATCCAAAGCAACGCACCCTGGGACTGAGCTCGTTTCCAGCCTTAGCATCACAGGACTTCTGTTTAATACTATGTTGATAGAGGTGCGCTGGTTAGGGGTGTGGCACAAGACACCGCTCGGTGGGGTCTCGTGGCTTCCCTGGGTGGTTGTGCTGTCCCTCTGATCCTTCTCTGAACCTGTCTCAGAAAGGCTGTTCTCAACAGGGGGGAGAAGGCAGGGCGCTGCCCGGGCTTGGGCTGGGCCAGCTGGCGACAGCAGCAAGGTTGGTTCGAACTCCCAAGGACTGGCCCCCGCCTGGTTTAGGGGACGGGACTGCCCGGAGCTGGCTCTGCCTGAGGCACTGTCTCCTCCTGGCATTTCAAGTTTTTTGTTTCATTCGTCTCCTCCGATTTTTTTTTTTTAAATCAGGGACCTCCTACGTGCTACTCCTAAGCCACCATGCGAAGCTCGACCAGGATCCGCCAGGTGATTTCTTCCTAGCAGATGTGTGTGTGTTTGGCAGGGGCTGTAGGAGTGGTGACCAAGGTGTCAAAAAGGGGGAGCACGCCCTGTGCCAGCATCCGAGGAACCTGCTGCCCACCCCCTGAGAGCTGGGGGAGCCTCCCTGCCTCAGTGTTAGTGAAGCAGCCTTGCTAAGACTGAGGCAAAGTGTTTTAAATTCCCACTGCTTCCGTCCCATGGGCTGTCTGTGACTCTCTGTGGCTTGGCTAGATCCTGCAAAGGGCCCCAGGATCCTTAAAGAACCTCTGTCCCGGGCTGTTCCCGGGGAAGCTTCCCTCTCCTTTGGATCAGACTTTCTTTCTCTCTCAGTTCTGCCTGCAGGAATCACTCAAATGGGGTCCAACTTCGGCAGCCTCTTCCCCCCCTTGCCCTGAGCTGCACACTGCACCCCATGCAGCCCTTCACATCTCGTCTCAAGCAGGTTAGGGTGTGAACTCACCCTAAGATGTCATAATCCGTACTGTTGCCCCTGAAAGTGCTGCCCTACTGTGTGGGTTGGCCTGTGTGTGGGTGCTGGGTGTGGGCGGGGGAGGCAGCCCCTTAGCTGGAAAACCCACACGTGTCCTCAGCCCTCCCCGAAGGCTGTGTTCAGGAAAGCTATGGACGCAGTATACCCCTTGCAGATACCCCTTGCAGGGTGAGCAGGGGTGGCACTGGCTGCCTCTTGGACAGGTAGACACTTCTCCAGACCTTGGAACTTGCCAGGAAGGGGTGGGCCAGATGCCTCCCACCTCCCAGGGTCAAGGCAATGGACAAGGGAAAGAGCTAGTCTGGTTTTCCCTTCAAATGAACCTCAACCATCTCTTCAATAGCAAGGTAAGGAAAGATGGGTCCCCTCCACCAAAAGCCAGGCAAAGTGGGAGGCAGCTGTCCCCTGGCCCTGCAGCATTCTACTCCTTACACGCTGGCCTTCCTGCTCCTTCAGGTGGGCCCCTGCCCCTCGGCGGGGGGAGGTATTCAAAGGACGGATGACACAGGGGAGACGGGGGCACCAACATACAGACAGGTTAAGCAACTTGCCCCAAGGGGCAGAGCAAAGAGGCTCAGGAAGCAGGACTTGTCCTCGACCCCACCCGGCAGCCTCTGACCGCCCCGTCTTGCTCAGCCTTGTGGACCATGTGCTCTTGCTGAAGCATCTCCCTTTGAGCCTGGGGCCATCGGTGGCTTAAGCACTCAGGGTGCTCCCAACCAATGCTCTCTGTGTCCTGAGCCTTAGCTCCAGGCCTGTGAGCCCTGGGAGGGCGGGGGCCACGCATGACTGTGGCTCAGAGCCCGGCTCACTCTAGAAGTTCAAGAGTGTCTCCTGAGCCCACAGCCTGGCAGCCGAGCACAGCAGCTGCGCCTGCAGCACAGGCAATGGGGCTTCTGGGGTCACTGCAAGATGCCCCCCCCAACAGCCAGGCAGGTGGAAGCACCAGTGGTGTCCCATCTCCTGGCTCCACGGTTGGTAGGTTTTCGGGGGGCTGCTTGGGTGCCCCAGCTGGCTGGGCGGTGTGGGCCAATACGGCTTTCCAGCTACACGGGCTGGGCTCTGGTACGGGCCCATGGAAAACGGACATCCTCTTCCTGGAAGGGCTGCTCTCGAACCCTGCCAGCCACACACCTCTCTAAGCATCTCTGCTTGGGGAAGACTGCTTCTCCAGGCTCAGGGTGGCGCCCGCCTCCCACAAGGGCTGGGAGGGGTGTGGCGCGGGCAGCGCCTCTCCTCGTGGCTGCCGAGGGCAGCTGTGGCTCAGAGCCGGCAGGACACACACGAGGAGCGGCCGGGCTGAGGGACCCTCCCTCCCCCAGACCCTGCGCAGGCAGAAGCCCTCCTGCGGTCCTTGGCTGCGCGGCAGGCGGACGGGCACTGTGACAGCACACAGTCCCCTCACCCTATGAACCTGTCTGCAGTACACTGAGCTCACTAGTGTGTGGGATGCCCCGTGGAGTGAGGGGCCCGAGACTGCTCTGCTCAGATCCAGAGTGTTTTCTGGAAAGGCTGGTCCTTTAATTCAGTGCACAGGCACACTTCCCTGACGTTCCCTTGAGGGACGCTGGGCTTGGGTGCAGGAATGCCCCGCTGTATGCAGGCAGGTGTCAGAGGAAAGCCAGGGGAGGGGACCCCTGAGCTCACTCCTAGCCCCCTGTTATTCACCCTGTCCCCTTTCACCACGAGAGAGCTGCCCCTCGGGCTTCTGGGCCGCAAGGCTGGCCATGGCTGGGGCCAAAGGCCTGTTACCTGCTCTCAGGTTCAAACAACATAATTGGCTCAGCTCTGGGCTATGGTTTCTTACCTGCAGACAGAGTACCTGTGTCTACGGGCTTGACCTTCAAATGACTGATTACTAAGTGATGCAAGCATTGCTAATACCTTTGTGGTTTAAAACGTGTGGCAAATGATGCTTTAATCGAGCCTCTGAAGGACACAGCCCCGTTCCTGCCCAGGCCACCCTGCAAGCAGCTGGAGGCTCGAATCAGAGGCTGTGCCTGTGGCAGGCAGGCCATCGCTGGGGGTCAGCTTTATCCTCCCGAAACCGACTCTAGCTGCAGCGACAGCTACCGGCTTGCTCTCAGGCTCAAGATCTCTCTCTGGGGCTAGGTACCTTTGGTTTCAGAAACGGATTAGGTGGGGAGGATGAAGGCTGTGCCTTCGGTCTCGGAGAACTGCAGTCAGCCAGGGTCTCTGGCTGGGGCAACAGGATGCAGGGCACACGTCGAGTGGTTGCTCTCGTTCTGCGGTGACGTTTGCAGGGGCCGCCCCACTCTCGAGACTGACATCGCTGGAGGCTTCGACGCTTGCGGGCAGGGGCTGGGAACCTGGGAGCTGCAGGGCCAGATCAGAGCTGCGTAAGGCATCCGGAGGGCGTGGGGTCCCCAGGCCAGGCTCTCTGGCGCGGTCAGCGTGGTGTTCCCGTGGGCTCTCCTGATATGTAAACACCCCAAGGAGAGGACACGCTGGTTCGGTCTCGGTGGTGGGGGGGGGGTGCGGGGAACCACTCGGCTGGGGTGTAAAACACCGCTTTCAACGTCTTACAGAATTGACCGAGGAGATGCTCTCTGCTAGAGACGAGAGGGGGAGCAGCACGTTATACCCCCAAACACACCAGCAAAGCTTCTGCATCGCCTGGTTCCATCTCCGTGAGGGCAGCGGCAGGGATCCCTGACCAGGTGGGGGGCACCCTCTCCCCTGCAGGCAGGGGGCATGGTCCTCTCCCACATCCTGGGTTTCACTGATGGGGAGGAAGGGAGTCCGAACCCAGCCCTTTCCCTCTCTCCTGAGGTGAGCACAGCTCCCCAGGGACCAGATGCCCGGTTTCCTTCTGGCTTGAGGTACTTGGCCCCTGGTGTCGAAGCTCTTCCCGTCGTGGCCGCTGCTGTTCCTCAGACTCCTTCAGAGCCGGCGCAGCTCTTGTCTGGGACACTCTGGAGGAAGGGGCAGGGTGACAGCGAAGGAGCAAGAGGTAAGCCCCCCTCCCAACTGAACCAGAGTGAGGCAAGCAGGCCTGCCCACTCTCTCCTGCCAGAAGTCCTGCCATTTTCCAGAAAAGAGCCAAGCCCAGCTCAGCAACTGACAAGGCCAAGGTGCACGGGTTGGGGGCCCAGGGAGGCATCTGGCGAGAAAGGCATCCTTCGGAAATACATTGGCCAGGTGGCGGTGTGAATACAACAGCTTTTCTCGATGTTCTTTTACAGGTCAATCCTTTTGCCTATCTGGGGGAGAATCCACCTATTCTTTCTTTGTCCAGGGACATTTCTTCGAAAGGAAAAGAAAATGGAGATGCTAGGTCTGGATGGGGAAGATGCACAAAGCAAAAATAAAGAGACAACGCGAAGGGCCATAACCAACAGAAACTGGCGTGTGCGCCGAGGTCAAGGGTGGGCAGTGGGGGTGGAAGGCTCAAGGTGGTCATGAGGCTGAGCAAAGGGCTGGGCTCCCTCCAGCTGAGCTTAGCCTGGACTCTAGCTCTTCCACATGGTGGCACCCCGGGGGTGCGGGGCGGGGCGGGGCAGGGGGCGGCTTGGGGTTGGCTGGGCGGTCACTGGTCCTCACAGCTTGGCAGACCCCCTTGTTGTACCCTTGCTTGTCCCTGAAGGTGGTGGCGGCTGTGTGGTAGGTCTGCGGTGGCTTCATCTCCCCCTCTCCCCTCCTCCCGCTTGCAGAGTAGTGGCTGTGCCCTGGGTTGGGGGGGAGGGGCTCCGTTAGGCCAGAGAATAGATGGCGTTGACAGGCGACGTGGCCTCCGAGCTTTCGTTGCCCTCTGTCTCCTCCTTGTCCTTTTTGACCGTGTACTGGCCGATGAAGGACCCGTCCTCGTTGAACTGCCCCTCGCCACCCTCGCCATAGTCCACCAGGCTGTCGTCACTCTCCTGCTGCTTGATGGTGCCATCCAGGGACGTCTGGCTGCCCTGCAGGGGCTTGTTGTCCTCGTCACTGGCCAGAGAGAGACAGAGAATCAGGGTCCGGCCCAGTCCAGTGGCGCTTAGAGCCCGGTGGGGTAGCGCCAGGCTGCTGGTCTCCCGCCAGGTGTACGTGCTCCGCAGCTCAGACAGGGGAGGGCCTCGGAGGTCACCAGTCAGCGCCCCCACCCCCCAGGCCTCCCCTGTCCGGCTGGGTTACAGAAGGGCACCCAAGGCCCGGAGAGGACTGGTGTCTCCTCCCAGGTGAGGTGGCAAGCTGGTGGAAGCCCACTCTTCCAGACTCCCGGGCTGGGGTCCCTGTGATGAGGCAGAGACAGCCACCCCACAGTGAGGAGAGCCAGCTGCTGTAAGACGAAGCAGGATGGGGTGGGCCGAGGAGCTGGGGGGCTAGAGCCGCGTGCGTCACTGTGTGGTTCTGGGGTCTTGGGAAAGCCTTTCTTCTCCCTGGGCCTTAGTCTCTCCATCAAGAGGGGCTGAACTCGCTTTGACGCTCTGTGCTCTGGGTGGCCCTGTCTCGAAAGGCTCTGCCCTTGACAAAAAGCAACAGGTCTGGGCCACAGGGCAACAAACCTGTCCCCTCGTCACCGTGGTGTGGTTTCTGCCCGCTGTCTGGTTTACCGACGAGCAGATGCTGTTGCTGGGGCCTCGAGTGAAAGAGGGCGGGACGGACGGAGGGGCACACGCAAGAGTGCAGGGCCAGCCCCCGGAGACAAAGCTCAGCAAGGCTCTGGCGACCCTGCCCAGCCTCCTTGGAGGCCCCCAGGTCCTGCCCTTGAGCTTCGAGGGGGGGGGCCAGGTGCTCCTGGCCCCATTTCAGAGGGGAAACGGCCCCCAGGCAGGAGGCAGCAGGGCGGCAGCGGGAGTCTGGGTCCCAGCCAGCGGGGCCCCCACGGTGCCAGGTGTGCAGCAGACACATAATGTCCCCTCCCTGGCCCCCAGGCCACAGTTAGTCCTTCCTGGGTGCGTGTGATGGGGGCGCTGGAAACAGCCGGCTGAGTTGCTATCAGAGGGGGCAATGCATGGTGCCTTCTAACACTGGTGCTGGGCAGAGACAGCTAGCAGGGGAGACCTGGAGCCCAAGCCCGAGGGGGCGTCAGTCCATATGCAAAGCTATCAGGCCTCCCTCTTTTGCCCCATTACCTCAGCCTGTTCTCTGATGGCAGGGCTACAGGGAGGCGGTGGGTCTGCAGGGCTGCACTGAGTCTGTACGGAGAGTGGGGCTCACGTTTTGAAAAACTAGCAGCTTCTTGCTGGTCCTGGTCCTACTCACGGGTCTTTTTTACACACACTCCCTCCCAGAAGCATGAGGGTTGTGTCTGTGATTCTAGGGGATTCCAGGTACCTAAGCCAAATGCAGCCACTGGACAGGAATGGCCCAGCTTGGGCAGAGGGAGCGTCTCTAGTGTGTCAGGTTCTTACAGAGAAAGAGGATCTAGATCTGGAAAGAACAGACCTCTTCTAAGGGAAGCTTGAAAGGAACCAGAAGGACTAGGGGGTACCTGGTCTAGTCACCTGTCAGCCCATCTTCCGAGAGACCCTGGAGACGCAGGTGGGCAGATGAGGGAGAGAGAAGCAGAGAGACCCACAGAGAGGTGCTTCGCTGCCGAGCCGAAACCGAGGTGGGTGTGCGCGCATGTGCGTGTGCGTCCGTGGTGTGTGGGCCCATGCATGCACCTGTGTATGTATATCCAGCCTCAGTGTGGGTGGGACAGGGGAGTGGGTGGGGAGAAGGCAGGTATTTTTGCCCAACAGCTTCGGTGTCTGGGGGAGGAGAGGTGCCTGAGGGAGCAACTTCTCATAGCACAGGAGGTGGGGTTGCACTGAGGGCCTGGGGAAGGGAAAGCCCCACGTTCTTTGGAACCGGTAGCCAGGAAGGAAATAGGGCTCAGCCCCTGGGGAAGATGGGCCCTGCCAGGGGTGCTGAGGACAGTCAGGGGAGGGGCCTCTCCTGCTTGCCCTTTTAGGAGGCCTTTGGAGATGTCGGGACTGGGCGGACGGATTTGGTACCTAAGTCTCCAGATAGGCTCCTGACTGGGCAGTGGCTCTGGGCAGCGTCTGCCTGCCAGGCTGCTGATGAGCAGAGTGGTGGAGGCTGAGGGTAGGATAAGGAGAGATCAGGGGAAGACGGGGTGATCTCGCCCCAGAGAGAAACAGAGTGGGGGTGGGGGAGTAGGGTTCTGATCAGAGCATTTCCTCCCGCCCGCCTTAATTTGGGAATGAGGCCTCCGTGACCCACCCCCCCTATCATTCCTTAACTCAGGATACACTTGCCATCAAAATGGAGATTACAACTTTGTAATCTGTCTCTCTCACACCAGCCACAAAGGCCCGTCCAGATCTGAGAGGGATGGATCGTGATGTTACCCTGCTGGGAGTCAGGCCCTGGCTTCTCCAGCTCTGCCACCAGCTTGCTGGGCGGCAAGTATGGGTGGGATTGCTGGGCAGGTCACGTCCCTGTCTGGGCCTCAGTCCTCTGATTTGGGACAGGCCCCGACCAGATGCTTCTCCAAGACATGCTTTGGGCTAGGGCCCAGAGACTATCATTCAAGTTCATGAGGAAAAGATCTAGAACCCCCCCACCCCTGCCCCTCATCCCTCACTAAGTTGAGGTTTCAAGACAATACAGTTTCCCCGGGTCCCTGTCTTCAGGGTTAGGGTGCGGGGTGGGCAGAGAGGAAGCCGACAGCTCATTTCATGGTCACGGTGTTCCCAGCATCTGCTTTCAGAGGAAAGAGATGGAAACACACATCGAAGGAGCTCAGTAAATTGGAGCTGTGCGGGTGAATGAATGGAACAGTGTCCCTCAAATCCGTGTGGGTGCGCAGGGCCGTGTCCTCCCTGCGGGGAAGCGGCCTCGTCCAGCCCGCTCAGCACAAGCGGGGGCTGTTGGAGAGGCAGAGGTGACAGCCAGGATGGGGGGGGTGGGGGCCGGGACCCAGACAGATCACCCACCTGTAGTCAAAGGAGCCGTCTTCTTCCTTGGGGTCCTCGGGGCCCAGGGGAACATCCTTCTTTTCTCGCACTTGGCCGGTAAGAGAAGCAGAGACACAGACATGGGGTTATGCCCCGCCCCCGCCCCGGACCCCGACTGTGGTTAGTGACTCTCTCCCTTTCAGCGAGGCACCGTCGATGCCTCCCCCATTCTTGCTTCCAGCATTTAACCAGCCGTCAAGTTGACGCCCCCGCCTCCTCCTCAACCCCGGCGTTTCCACACACATCTCCGTTGACAACTGAAACCTCCTCCCACCAGGCCCCCCGCCACCTCTCCACGGGGTTGCCCCCAAACACCGAATAGATGTGATCCTTTCTTTGGCACCTTTCCTATTCTGCTCTGCAGGGTAATCACTTGTGCATGGTTGTAAAAGCCCCTAGCAGAGTGCCCTGGGCAGAGGGGGCGCTCCGTACGCACTTTCGGGCTGGAAAATGCTCCTGTGTCTGTGGCCTCCCTCGTGTGTGGGACCCCCTTCTCCCACACCTGCTCTGTGGTTTGCACACACCCAGCCCAGGCCCGTCTCCTGGGCTCTGATCTTCCCGCGGTGCCAACTGCAGTGTCTTGAGGGAGAGATCACCCTTCCTTCTCGTGTCCTTCCCACCCAGCAGGGCCCGGCACACGGGCACACTCATGCGAGTGACTATGTATCCTTCCTGAGGTACAGGGCAAGATAATCTCCCCCATTTTAGGAGAGGGAAACCGAGCCCTTCAGAGGTGAAGAACATATCCCAGAACTTATTAGTGACTGACTCAAGTTTAGCATGAAGGCTAGAGCCCAGGCCTCATGGTTTGCTCATCTTTCCAGTGGACTAGGGCCTTACCTTGCAGCTGGAGGGAAGGAGGTAAGCTGTGAGAAGAACTTTCTGGAAAAGGACACTGTCTAAATGGGCAAAGGAAGCCTCCAAGCTTATCTGATGAGTTGGGGGGTGAGCTCAGTAAGGCTGTTCTTCTCCCTGACTCTGGCTTTCTAATTTACAGGAGAAAAACAATCCCAACACAGCACAACAAAGTGAAAGAAAATGTCATTAGCCAATAAAGAATTATAACTTCCTGCCCTCCCTCACAGACATCTCCCTCACTTAAAGCAGAGACAGAACTCTTTAGAATCCTAGGGTCTGAGGGTATGTGGCGGTGGGGAGGTGGGGAGAGGAAATAAAAGAGAATCTTTCCTCTGGGTTGAGTTTTAGGGGGACCCTGGAGGAGGTCTTGTTTAGAGGCAGAGAGAGGAGGCATTTGGGGAGCACGGCCTGTGCTTGGCAATGGGGTTTTGGGGGGCAGGGAGCAATTTCATTCTGCAGCCCAGCAGGATTTTCGCTCACTGGGTCATCCATTATCCTGTCCCCTGTCATTCTACTCACCCCGTCCCAGACAGATGGCTTTGTTGCCCCTGTTTGAAAAAACAATCAATATTTCCAGAAGCAAGAATGCCAGAGGTCCTTGTCCTTGACCTTGGTCTCTCTGGGCTGGTGGATCTTAAGGCCCCCAGAGGAGCAACGGCTCTTTGGGATGCTAGGGAAGTCCAAAGCTCTTTCCCGATGGGGTCTGTACCAACGCAAGCCACCCCTCAACCTCCGCCTGCTCTTCAAGCAGGAGCTCCTGACCCTCTGCTGGGGAATCTGTCATTACAGCCCAGTCACCGACAGCCTCCCTCATGGGCGTGCTTCTTCCATCCAGACCCTCCCCTCTCTGTTCTCTCTCATGGTTAGAGAAAATGCCTTTCTTCCTTAGGACACAGGATCCTAATGAGATTCAGGCTGAAAAAAGCCAATTTACTGAGCAGACGGCTGGTGAGTCAAGGGGAGGGAAGGTCATTCTTAATAGGAGCCAGGGTTCCTTCCATCCCCTCTTTGGAGCTGCCTGGACCGTTCCATCCACCCACCTCGGAGAAACTTAATTAACTCAAGTGCTTTCTGGCAGCTTTAAGATGCACGGGCCAGGTGAGAGGACTCTATGTCCAAGCTTGGCAAGGGTTAGGCTCGCTGGGAGAACTGAGCCCCCTGGATCTGGTCAGGGTCCTGGTGGCTCCCAGGAAAGCTTGCCGGCCCCATTCCCCCAAGCCCATTCCTTCCATATATCCTACCTGGGTACTTGCCACCTCGACTCCTCTTGATGAAACAGACGATGAGCAGGATCAGCACCAGGAGGGCGATGGCACACATGAGCCCAATGAACCAGCCCTGGGTGGCGATGTCTGCCTGGTTGTTGGTGTAAGCTGGGGGGGTGGGGGGAGGGCCAGAAGCAAACACACAAGTGATTTCCCATGGGCGGAGGTGAGGAGGGAGACGTGGGGGGAAGAATGGCTATTTCATATCGATGTTCCTCTTTGAGCCTTACACTACTACCTAGCAGTCCTCTGGCCTGAACCACCCCGCTACAGGGACAAAGAGAAAAATAATTAAAGAGCCAAGGTCCAGAGGTCAGAAAAGAGGCACAGGAAAGGGGTATAGGGAGCAGAATAAGCAGCAGAAGGCTGAACAGGTCCTTTAGGAAGGGGAAGTTTCCTAAGGATGGGGCATGGCACTCTTGCAAACCAGACGGCTGGTCACAGCCTGGTGGGGATGGAGGGAAGGCCAGGGGTTGGCCCTGGAGGTACAATTCCCCATCAGTGAGCCTGGGGTGAGGAAATGGGACTCTGCTACCCATCAGGGAATGGGGGCCGTGGTTACATTGCAAAAACCTGTTCTAAGAACACCTTCACAGGCCTGCACAGGCTCCGAACAGCAAGCTTTCCCACCAATATGGCCCTGAAGCCAACCAGGTCTCCTGGCCGTGGGTCCCGGGCAGGGTGTTGTTCCAGAATGCCCTGTGCTTTCTCACATTCCCCCAACTGTCTCCCTTACAGCAGAGACAGTCCCTGTGCGGGTACCCCCAGATGGGCTGGGGCCAGGCCTTCAGTGCACCCCATGCCACTTCAGACCACTTTCGCGCATGGAGACGCCCCAGCCCCGGGACCGTGAGTCTCTCCCTAGCCCCTCAGGGAGCGTGTGAAGACATGTCTCAACCTGAGCAGACCCCTTCACAATTCAAGGGGCATGTGAGTGGGCCTAGAGGACAAGGGCTCAGCTGCCATCTGACGGTGTCCTGGATGGCCCAACGGTTGGCATTAGGGTTTGGGAAGGGGTGTGGAGTGGGCAGGACCCCCTCACTCTTCTTTCTATGGACTAGAGAACACAAGCACCCCCTCTTGAAACCCAGCCTGCATTGGGAACCAAGACTTGGGAGGAGAGGCAGGATCCAAGCAACCCTGAGCAGACCCAAAGTAACCCCGGAGCCCTCCGAGTGCGCCGAGGGGTGTCTCAGAGCGCCAGTCGACAGCAGGGTCCCAGAGAGCCCACAGAGCCCAAGCCAAGCACGGGGCCTCCTCCTGGCGGCGGGGGAGGAGAGCACAAGGAACAGAGGGGTGACCCAGAGCCCTTGGGCCCCAGGGTCTTTAGCCCATGCCCTTTTGTGGGGCAGGGGTCTGGGTGCAATCTTACCCTTTGTTCTTCTTGGACAGAGAAACTGTCTTTATAGCCTTCTCTGTGCCTAGGCAAGGGCACGGCACCAGGAAGGGTCTGGACAGATGGGGAAGACTGATGAGCAAAGGCTTTCATGCTCTCTGCCCCGGTTGTGCTCACCCGATCTATGGCTGTTGTGGGGGGAATCCCATCGCCCCCACTCCTGCTCCTGCAGGCCATTCCCTGGACAGTGTCACAGAGGTCCTCCCAGAACCCCACGTACGAGCAAATTACTTCCTCGCTCCAACCCTCCAACGCTGCCCACTGCTACCAGGGAGACACCTACCTTCCCATCCTGTCCTGGCAGGCCCCACCCGAGCTGGCCCCGGACACTTCTCTAGGCCCGTCTCCCACCCTCTCTCCGCCAGCCACACCGGCCGCTCACATCCCTCCCTCGGGCCTTTACATGTGCAGCTCTTCCTTCAGTTGGCCGCCTCAGTCAACGTCCCCCCCCCAGACCTTCTCAGCTAAAGCCAAAGCCTTCTCCCCCAACCAGCCACCCTCTGAGGGCTCTCATTCCCCTTTCTCCTAGCACTCGTTCTCAGCCGGAAGCCGGAAGGCTTTATCATCCCCATTTTACTGATGAGACGACTGAGGCACAGAGAGTTTATGTGATTTGCTCAAGGTCACAGAGCTGGTAAGCTACGTGCACCTCAGCTGGACCTCTGCTGCTGCCTGACCCCCAAACTGTTGCTCCCTCTCATGCCGCTCCACGCCATCTTGTCCCCGTGCCGGCGACATCAGTGTGACCCCCGAAACCTCACAGCCGCCACAGCTGTCCCTGCCCCCAGAGCAGTGGCAGCAGCTCGCCCCTTCCGAGGGGCTCAGTCCTAGAAGGATCTCGGACCCTCCAGCGTCTTCCTCTTTGCTTTCCCCTTCCTCCTGCTGTTAAACACATTGAAGCTTCCTGGATCTTAAAACAAAAACCCTGCAGGAGCCCACGACTTTTCAGCTCTAGATGAGGCACTGTCCTTTTCTAGGTGAACTCCTTCATCTTCCATGGTCTCTGGGTCCCATCAACTCCTTTCCTCCAAACCCGTCAGGCCAACCTCAAGCCTCTCTCTACTCAACAACTACCACCATGGAGTGGGTCTTTCCCCAACCTGCCTCTACCTCCTTGGCTCCTACCTTCCCCTGTCCTCCAGGCCTGACTTTCCAACCGGCGATCCCTTTACTCATCTCGCATTGTCCCCCCAGCCAGGTCCGCAGCTGTAAGCCCAGCGTTCCCAGCTAACATCCTAACATCTCCTTGGATGGTCCGTCTGCTTGAAATTCAACCCATGTCTTCCTGCCCCTCGATGCTCCCCACTCCCGCCAGTGGCTTCCCCATTCCTGCCATCCCTAAGGCTCATCCTTTCTCCTTCCAGTGTCCTTCATATTTGCGCCATTGCTCTAGGCTAGAGGGGTCCCCTCCTTACCCTGGGTCTATCAGGTCCCAAGGATACAATGGCACATCATGTCATTATGCTCTCAGGACACCTCCCGTCATGCCTGGCCTTCCAGGTGCTCTGCGCGTCCCCTCCCTGCAGCTCCCCCCCTACCCCCGTGCCCAAGAGAGCCTGGCCTGCTGCCCTTCTTGCTCTCCACCTCCACACTCCACCCCTCCTTCCTGAATCTCCCACTCCTCCAGCTCACACCAATCCCAGAAGTCCGATTTTACCTGTTTACTCCGCGAAATGTAACATTCAATCACTCTGTTTCCTGGGTCTGGATTTTTAATGATACTATTAAAGGCTTGAGAACAGAGGAGTCTTTGGGCCCCCTAGTGCTTAGCACGATGCTGGTCACATAGCAAGCAGGCAGTGACTACTTATTAAAGATCAGTTTAATCCTAATTTAATATGGTTAATTTGGGATACTTGCCGGGGTCACAGGGAGATTGGCTTGACCATGTGCCAATTTGAGTTTGGATGGTGGTTCCCACCTTCTGCAGAACAGTTGGTTTGCTCCACTACCATCTTCCTGATGCTTGTTCTGATATGTCCTGACAAGCCATCTCCCCGAGACTCCTTTTCTCTTGGGACAGGAAGTCACAATCGCAGGGAGAGAGGCCATATGGGCAATCTGGAAAGCGAATGTAGCTCTCCATTCCTGACAGCACCTGAAGCTCAGATGTTACCTTCAGTCCTTACCAAAAAGGTCAAAGAATGTTCTGGACCCAGAAGGCTGTTCAAATCCAAATGGGTTTTGTAAATACGCGTGGTGCTGGCTGTTAACTAAACTTCTTGTGGCCATGACTTTGCAATATATACATATATCAAATCGTCATGTTGTACACCTGAAACTAATACAATGTTCTATGTCAATGATATGTCAATAAAAACCAAAACCCAAACCCAAACCAGGTGGGATCTGGGGTGAGGTGAGCTCAACCAGACTCCATCAAAATGACTTAGTTTCTCAAGAACCAAAAGCAATTTAGGACAAGATGATCTCACTCACAACGTGACCCGACAGAGTGGACTCTGAGAGGCGGAAGGCCTTGTAGTGAGGCTTCAGCGCATTACATTTGGCTGCCAACCTCATTCTTAATCGATCTGCTCAACGTGTTTCAAGATTCCTAACGGAGACAGTAATGACAACATTCAAAGATCGGGGTGCATTTACACTCGCCACCTTCCACTGGAATGGGGAGCAGAACAGCACCTGCTCCTCCGGCCCACAAGGCCTGGCAAACTCAGGCCCAAATGCCTCTTACCTCTAGACCAGAGGCCATATTTTGTGTGCCTCCCACACACCTCAGCCTGCAACACTGCTCAGAAATGGGCTATTCATGTGCAAGGCAGGCAGTTCTCACGACTCAAAGGCCAATCACTCAGAGTCCGCAGGAGAATTACATTTCAGAAATAGGGGTAGATGAACACGCAGGACAGGGATGGACTTCCTTCAGATGCATTTGGGCTTAGCTGCTCTTACTGAAGCACCATCTGACGCCTCTGCAACACCACTGTGCCCCATGGTGGGATTCTTCCAAACACAACCGAAAGAGGCTGACTACAGGGAGGTCCCCTAATGTCCCTCCTCCCGCTTTCCTGAGGTCTGAGGCAGTTTGCGGTCTGTCCTGCTGGCCCACCGTCAGCACCTGCCTGCTGCCGCCTGGCCCCATCCCGCCCACCCCAGGACAGAAGAGCTGGCGAGCCCCCCGGAGTCCAGAGTTATGTGTTTGTGGCCCCTTGGGTCTCTTTGCCTTCAAAAGCTTCAAAGAGGTGATTAACTTTCCATGTGGGATCTTCCCGCTGAGGGTCAGGGAGCTGGTTAGCATTCCTAGTGGTTTTCTTCCATATCCCCCCTGAACCACTGCCGCATGTTTGAGTATGTGGACTAAAGTGATGGCCTGTGGTCACCTAAATGACCAGTGGTTGGACCCAGAGATGCTCATAAACTCTTGCTCTGATGAGACGCTGGGGCCTAGGGGATCGTGTGAACTTGGCTTGGGAGTCCACCCACAGGACACACAGCGCGCATTTTCAAAGAATCCAGAAACACACAAACTTCAGAAAGTGAAAATATTTCCTTTCCCTCTGTGGTTTGCACATAGTAATCTCTAGCCAGCCAGTGATGTCAGTAAGTAATACGTACTCAGGGCTAGGGTTGCAAACCTGCTCACCCCAGCTCGCACGGAGAGGAATCGGGGAAAACTCACTCACTCTGAAAGCAATCTCTCAGGAAGAGTGTCTCCAGAACAACCACAGGAAAAGAGAAAAGGACACCGAGT